CGCGGCGGGCACACAGCTGATGTCTCTCGGAGCCGTCCATCTATGACAAGACCCGTGCCGGGAGGTGTCCCTTCATCCCCCCATGTCAATACTCGCCATGAACACCTTCCTGTTCCTTCCGTGTCTCGCCAAATCGCTTCCGAGAACTTGTCGGAACAGCAATACGAAGTTGGCACTGATCCTTACCATACCCCGCCTCCGGTTCCGCCTACGACGATGTTGTCGACAATTTCTGCATATTCCTACCCGTATCCGAAGTGCGGATGGGCGGATTGTGACGTCGACCTAGACGATATTTCTACTGGAGGAATGAGACGACATCTCTTCGCCTCCCACGCAGACGAAGCTGTCTCACAATTCCAAGGGCAGCAGGGGATTTGCAGGTGGACCCACAGCAACGGGCGCGAATGTGGAAAGGTGCTCTTATGTGCCAGCCTCGCGAAGCACTGCGCTACGGTGCATCTGAGGAGTATGGTCAAGAATTGCCCCGTGTGCTGTGTGCCGTTCTCCCGACCTGATGCAGTCACGCGTCACCTTGAGATACATCACCGCAATAACGAGACGCACTGAGGCTGGCGAATAAACTTATTGAACCAAGATGATGGTTTCTTAGCCGGGTTCTTTTTCCGTGCGACTGTTCATTCGAGCCCTTCACGCTATCGTTATTATCATTTTCATCACTGTGACTTATTTATTTGCACAGGTTCAATCACGAGGCGGCCTTTGTGCTGCATGTCGTCAAAGCTAATTGTATTTATCTATGTGGTGTATCTATTTGAGGAGATCCATTTGTGTTGAGCTGTATTCTTCCGAGGTGGTGGCTGCCTTCAAATGGATGTGTCGACGTCACTGCCTACTAGTAGTAAGTTGGTCTACGGTCCAACTCGAGTCGGCTTGATCACTCGTACTGAGACTCGAAGTGCGCCAGGCGCTGGCGCTAGACCTCGCGCGATATGGAGACTGTTTCACGGCCGACACTGCTTGTGTTGGTTGGAAATGTATTTTAAATGGACCATTATGTTCATGAGATTTATGCCGCATATATATTCTCGCGTGAAATGTTGGCATACTGACTTCACAATTTGATCTTTGTGAAGTCAGTACAACAGCTACAGGCGTTTGTTTCCTATTTAGGTAACACATCCCCCCAAAACAGCTGCATACTATATAACGATGATAAATCGTGGATATGAAGGAGACCGATGCGAAATTGCGTTTGCGGCTATGGGTAGAATAAGGCAAAAGCACAGCAAATTCCACGACATTATGTATCCAATTTCCATTCTAAGGTGACAAAATGGATACCGAATTATGCCCGTGGAGAGACCTCTGCGCTCGGTGATTTATCATGGTGCAAAAAAACTTCTCAGAGCAACTGGCGGAAGGTCTCGAAAAGATTATATCACTAGCAACCTCAATAATTGGAATCTAGTTTCCATGACACTAAATTCCGCACAGACATCGAATGCGGAAGCAAAACAGACCTGCTCTCAGAATGCGAAATACGAAGTGGAACCCAGTACCACGACTTGACTACTGACTAAGATAGCCAGCTTATCCAATTGTAGAGGATTGTGGCTGCTACTCGCGCCATTGCTGAAGCGTACATCTTCTTGCATATCGTACTACACAAGCAAGTAGTACATCGGCGCATCTGACAACTGTCAATGAGCCCCTATCCTCCCCAGTTAGGAATTTGTTGCTCTTGGGAATCACGAAGCAGGCGCTACGAAATGTGATGTCTGTTGATCTCCCGGGGGCTGCTATGAGACGAGCGTCTGGAGTACACGAGATGCCATGGCCTCACAATAACAATAAAAATTTGCTCTGGTTCACACCCCCTCACGACTATCTTACTCACACTCTGAGTTTCCACTTTTAAGGTTGCCTCCAATCGCCCGTATGTGGTGTCGCTCTTGTTCTGCTGTTTCTCAAACATTCAATGACAGCCCCAGTTCCTTGTGCCGATTAGCTTACAAGGATATTGTCGCCCTAGGAATATTCTCCAGGGGTATAAATGGTGTTGACCATGTTCTGCGTTCAAGGAAATTTCACAGATTATTACAAAAAATGTTAAAGAGGATATCCGGCGGTATCACTTCAATTTACCTAATTTCTAGATGTACGCTGATATCCTGAAGCAACCGTATCCTAGGATTTGGGATTCTATCTAGAAGATCGAGAAAAATTGCATAAATAATGAAGCAGTCAAATGATGGTGAAAAGGACAGCTTACTGCTGTCAGTGCAACTAGTATCATTGGCTTTGTGAGTCGTCGTAATGATCGATATCCGGGCTCATCACTTGATGATTTATCTTTCTCACCTCATGAGGTTAATCACCGCATTCGCAAGTTGTCGTCCATCCATAGTGTCAAAATCTACGAGCATCACATCTGCTGTGGGATACAACTGGGAAGATGCTAACGAGTCGCATTGGCAAGTGCTCCAAATGCTATCACGCGTTATATTTTTCGAGGAGATCTGCGGTGGGTGGCAGATGATCTATGTATTGTCCCATATCCGACAGACATATCCGACACCAGTTATCATCTCAGATACAACATGAAACGATTTGGACTAACCAGCGCAGTGGCTTACCCACTGTTAGTGACTATTTCCAATGCAGGGCATATGGAATGTCACCTGAGAAAAGTCTAGAGCAACCCATCAAGTATACACTTAATACGACATTATGACCAGATGCTGACCTGTTTGTATCTAGATGGTTAGCTTGACAAAACCTTAGCGACATTAACGTGCAAGCTTGCGATTCTTGCCCAATTATTGACACATTCCAGCATCGACAGCCTCGAAGGCATAACCGAATGCTAGATCGAGAACCTACAGAGACATAATAAACAGGATCAACGGAATGGTGAGTTATCACACGCATAGCAGGAACCACGGTGAACTTGGCCACATGATGACTGATCAGAGCCCTCTGTTCTCACTCGAGCATGGCGGGAGCTTGCCTGGTGGTCAGTGACATTTGGCGAGACAATCCGAGTGGACGTGAGGGGCTCTGCGTGGGACGCTGCGTTCTGAGATTTAGGCCTGATTGACGTCGCCGCAAAAAGGGCGTCCTCCGTAATGTCGGACGACGACAGTCTAGATGCGCCAAAAATACAGCGGAGTTCGCTAAGCTAGCACGAGGTTTCCACGCTTCGCCGTTCCGTCTTCAGGCTAAAAATCTCCATCTTCGCGCCCAGTCACAAGATAGGCTTTGCAGATTGCGATCACGTATTAAAAACATGTGTATGGTGTGGAAATCGTGGATCTGTCTATGGTGAGCGCGCAGGAGGCTCTTTGTAACGATAGGAATACGGCAGCTGAACTCACAAATCTACGTGGTGAAAATCCGCATCGCCGTAGCCAACCAGTCGTGAAGGCGTAGACGATCAGTGATGAGCGATCTCGCCGAACCCAGTAGCCATGTCATGTCTTCATCGATCATAACACAGGCATGAAGACGAATACGACTCGTTGTCTAACAAGAGGAGAAATATCTTGCTCGCCCATAGTCCGTATCCACCTGGTACACGAAGGTTTACGTAGCGGGTGTCGTCTATATTTCAGTGCTGCCCGTCTTCTGTGAGTTTCTCCCCATACCCAAATCGAGCTCTGCAAAATAAACTGAAAACAACGCATATACGGCCTGCTCTGGGCCAGTCACAGAGCCGCTTTGAAAGATGAGCGTTTAAAGAGGTATATGGTCTTCGTGTATCGATGCCGAGCAAGTGACTGTACAACGCACGTCTGTACCACGCCTAGGTCGGTGTGTCTGGAATCTTCCGGCTCGGGGTCTGCAATGAAAATGAGCGAGCAGGAATAGATTCCCGTCAGCTTCATATTCGGCGCACAAAGCATCGTACACTGGCACGAAGTGAATCAGAAACCTCCACAAAGAACGTGGGGCAGGTGTAGAGGTCTTCGTGCTGAGGTATGTTGCATATTCAAGTCACTGGCGTGCTGGCATCTTACCTCGTTTGCCCACTAGTCCTCGTGCTCAACATCGCATGTCTGGTGTGAAAGTATAAAGATTGTGGGCGCGAGAGGCACGGGAGACAAACCCAACTGTGAGACGATACCAAGTTGCAGGAGTGGGAGGAAGGGGAGTCGGAGCTGGAATTGCTCTGACAGGGAGCCGCGATTGGCCACAGACAATGCGCCGGCGCCGGCGTCGCTTCCGCTGTGGTTGAGACTGCATGTTGCGTGCGCAGGTGAGCACACATGATATTAGGGTGAGTAGCTGGCTCCAGACTCTTGTGTTATTCCTCACGCTCAGTTGTCTTTCGAGGTTTCCTCGTGTTCAACATTATGGTGCTCGCCTGGGTAAAATCAACCTGGATGCATTTTGTATGTAAGAGGAGACTAATCATATATCTGGGTCGGCATCGTCCCGCGGTCGGATACAGACCCAATAAACGAGGAGGAGGCCATGCGGCGCGAGCTAGTGGCTGCCCGAGGTTCACAAGGACAATTTGCTTGTTCTAGCTCCGGTGGGTCGCAACACGCACACGCATGCGCGACATACAGGCATTCGAAACGTGCAAGTGTCTTCCTCGCTCGTGTTTGTCGGGTTGTTTCGAGTATATGAGAGGTCCGTTGACCATTGACCATTGTTCAACGCACTTTCTTCCAGTCCTCTCCCGTTCTGCGTGTTCAAGCATATCGCAATGCCAGGCCAACGCAAGTATCTCGTATCGCCGACTGCAGTCCCTCCCGCTGGTCGGGCTACCTCCCCGACTTCTTCCCGTCAAGGCAATGATAACCCGTTCGGTTTCTCTCAGAGAATCCCCCTGTATGTGCTTGTCCACACTACTCACTTTGTTTATTGACCCCTGGCTCGATACCTCCAAATGCAATAGAGTCTTCCCCAGTGTCGGCGCTCAGCCTTCTATGGAATCTTCCCTCGCCTACACCACACACCCGCAAGAGTGAGTGGCGCGATATCCCTCCCCAGACGTTGACGCTGATGCCTTCATCAGGTCCGGCATATCTGCCATCCAGCATATAAATCCGCGCATGGCCATTAATGGAAACGGGTACGTAACGACGTTTTGATCTTCATCAGCTCTTGTTGATATATAGATCATCACCCAGCTCTAGATTTCCCGCAAGCACTAGAGGATACGGAGACGTGTCCTATACCTCCAACAATCATCGCACAGACACGTATCCGTATGGAGGGAATGAAGAGATCAAAGGTCCCCCTCCAGTGGGCTTCATGCCCGACACCCAGGCGTATATTGACCACCGCCAAGCTGCTTCCTACATTTCGGCCATCGATGTTTCTCCTCCGCGTGTTGGAGCCGTCACTGAGCCTCATTTAGATGGATCGCTCCCTCAAGACTCTCGTATGAGCACCTGCCTGCTTCCCCGTGCACCTTTGAGGGGGCGCTCAGGACCACCCCACGCCACCGCCGTCATCAATACCACCCAACAGCGCGGCGGGCACACAGCTGATGTCTCTCGGAGCCGTCCATCTATGACAAGGCCCGTGCCTGGAGGTGCCCCTTTCTCACCCGATGTCAATACTCGCCATGAATACCCTTCTGTTCCTCCCATGTCTCGCCAAATCGTTGATTCCTACCATGCCCCGCCTCCGACTCCGCCTACGACGTCATTGTCGACAATTTCTGCATGTTCTTACCCGCATCCGAAGTGCGAATGGGCGGATTGTGACGTCGGCCTGGACGATATCTCTACTGGAGGAATGAGACGACACTTCTCCGCCTCCCATCCAGATGAAGCTGTCTCACAATTCCGAGGGCAGGAGGGGAAATGCAGATGGACTCAAAGCAATGGGTCCGAATGTGGAAAGGTGCTCTTGCGTGCTAGCCTTGCGAAGCACTGCGCTACGGTGCATCTGAGGAGTATGGTCAAGAATTGCCTCGTGTGCCACGAGCCGTTCTCGCGGCCTGACGCCGTAGCGCGTCACCTCGACACGGTGCACCGCCGCAATGGCGAAATGCCCTGAGGTTGGTACCTTTAGCTGGGCAGTCGAGACGGTGATATCATGACTGGATCATAATTTTATGTGACTGTTTATTTGACCTCTTCTTGCTATCATTTACATTCGCTCTTATCACTGTCATCATCTTGACTGGTTCATTTCCACACGGGCTGCGAGACAGTCTTTGTGCTACGAGTTGCCAGGGATGATATTATTTATTTTTGTTATTTATGTCAAGTTGTTCTACTGAGGAGACTATTCATGTCAAGCTGTATCGTTGTCGCAATGGCATTAGGTCCAAATGGAGTGAGCTGATAGCTGCCTCCAGGTGGATGTATTGTTGCGAGAAACATGCAAGTTGAGAATTTGTAAAGTATGTATAGCGATAAATGGTCCGTCAACCGTCCTATTTCTTCACAAGAGTGTGCAAACATCTCACCTATAACGCATTGAATACGCCTACCTGCTCGTCTCTTGAAGATCTCGGAGACGAGGGGCTCTTAACTACAGACTTGAGAGTCAAAAATTTGCTGATTGGGACATACGCAAATAATGTTGATCGCAAGCCAAAAATGGAGCGCAGTTCATAAAAGCAACAATCTTAGGGCGTCGTCTCCAAGGTGAAAGTGTAGCCTGATTCCGTGTCGTTTAGCTTCCGACAAGTTCGTCTCGCCCGATCAAGATCGAGTTGCTTCCCAAGGCTACACAAGTCTCGGGAGCAAACTCTTCTCGATTGAAGGTGTGAAACTGGCTCGGCCGGAGTTAGAAATCGAGCGTAGATTATCCAAGCGCTCACAGACTACAAACGCTTCAACTTGAGGACTGTGGCAATTTCTGTATGTTTAATGGCTTTCTGGTAGAGGGCGTTCTAATCGCGGCCTGTATCTATGTAATGCAACTTGACCCGATTACTGAAACGGCGGAACCGTACCGCCTCCGAGGCTGCGCATTCCGAGGCCGCCGTTCCCGCGGCAATGCTCCCGACTCGCACCTCCGAGGCTCCGAGCTTTGCGAGCTTCACACACATTGATCACGAATTACTCCGGATCCCAACGCGCTGGACATGTGGCCATGGTTCATCGGCTGAGTAGGTGTTGAGTTGGAACGTGGACTTCGAACGAAGAGATGATCAGCTCGGGGGCGGGTTCTACGCATCGAGACAGCCATTACATCGCACGCTATTGGAGTGAGTGATGTGATGATGTAGTCGGTGCAGCACGAAATCCACCTTACTGGATTGGCCGCCAAGTAAGTGCTCATTCACTCTCACAAGATATATTGGTCATCTCACGTCAAAACTGTAGGCGCACCATGCGCGCGCAGGGCATGATAGAGGGAATCAAGCTCAGGCTGACGACCATGTCAGACAGTTCGATGCTGTGGTCTGCTTAGGCCTTGGCAGCTGACCGCAGTGCGCTCGGCTGGATCTCAAGGATCTCTTGGGCTGCGTCCAAGTACTGCATTCCCTCCTGTGAGTCGGGACGTTGCCACATGTAGCGCATGTTCCCGGCCGTCATGATATGCATCTCATGTACGCCGATGGAAGCGGGGAGATCTTTTCCGACTGCGGTGGGTGGCCAAGGGAGGGGAAGATATGCACGACGACAATGAGGATATGCTAGTGCAGCTCATGCAGCTAACCGCCCAGGCTATGCCACCGCCGCAGCAGCCCACGAACACGACCTCCGCTGGTACACTCAGATGACCGACGAGGACGCTCACTGTCTGACATGTAAGCTTGTGGATTGTTCCACGCGTACGTACCGCGACCATTGACTCAGCATGAGTCCCTGTCCTGTGCTACGCGCAGGTTGTCGTGCTGACTATGCCCACCGGCAACCATTCTAACATTCCGATTGCTGAGGGTTTTAAGAGCTCTGATAAAATCTCACCCACTAGCTGTTCTTTGTGCATTTGTGTGATGAACTCTTATCCGAGCCCGTTCTTTCAATATTCCGCTGATCCTGCGACTGTTCCCATCCCGCCTTCTACGCCCAGAGTCTCCTCTGACGTCCGCTATGGCTCTCAGTTTTCCTACTATCCCAATGGCATGTCCATCATTCCCCCTGGGTGAGTATTCATCCCTTCTCTCGTACACTCCCCGAATTCTTGCTCATGCAAAATCCCACGCGTGTAGTGTAGGATTTGGTGTGCCTGCCGATCAGTGGCGTGTAGCACATCCTACCGCTTGTCCATCCCTCGCCCCACCCACCATGTGCATTGATGCCACACAGCAATTCTTGTCTGTTCCTCGGTCCCACGATCCCCAGTTTCCGGGGAACAGGATGTAAGTGCACCATTTGTGGTGCAGCCGTCTGATTTTACTGATCTCATTATCTCACGACAGGGTGGCGCATCCTCCTGGCAGTGCTACATTTAGCCGCACACTGCACACCGGAGAAATGTACGGTGAGACAAGGCATCAGGGACGTACAGGCCAGACCCCGGCAATCAATACGCATCCTCAAAGTCAGATTGCCCTTGTACGACGTTCGGCAGTGGTTCGCCCCGGAAGTTTCATCGTACCCTCCACTTTGTCACGTCCAGAGCCCAGCCGCGAACTCCACCAGGATTGGCTCCCGCCCCCATCAACACCGCAGATGTTGACAACCTCCCCGAGCGCGGTCTCGCGTACGCGTTGTCTGTGGACAGGATGCACGATTCTACTTGATGATACGTCCATCGCGGGGATAAAGCGGCATCTCGCAGCCGTCCACGCCGACGAGGCAGTCCCGACGTTCGACGCGCAACCGGGGATGTGTAAATGGACACTCGGGGAGCACGGTCACGAGTGCGGCAGGGGGCTTCACCGCGCGAGCCTGGGGAAGCACATCGCGTCCGTCCATTTGAAGAGTACGGTGAAGCAATGCCCGCTCTGCCACGCGTCGTTCTCTCGAAACGATTGCGTCGTTCGCCATATGAAGCACTGCGGTGGGAGCTAGGTTATCGCGGACGAGGATCGAGAGCCAAACTGCAACTGCATCCCTGTGTGGGCTTATCGATGAGCAGAAAGTGGACGTATTGGACGCATTCGGGAATGCAGACTGACGTGTCGAGGCTCCCACACTAAAAAAGCCCGTTAAGGGCGCTGTTTGAACCGCATTTTTGGCCTCATCTTTACGAATTTGCGACACATACGTTTTGTCGGCGCAGTGAAGCACTGTAGGGCATGGAACAAGTGTCTGGATATCATCGAACACCTTCATTTACCAATTAGCGTACAATTAGCTTGACCGAGAATGCGCATTTTACGATTGATGATGCCATAGTGATGGAAGGAACGATCCGGGGAAGAAACGCCGTTGGGACTTTCGATCAGACGAGGGACGTTCTGTTGGAACACTCAGAACAGTAGTAGGACGCCGGGATTGTGGAGATATCTTTAGACTACTACATAGTTGACTCAAAGGCCCGATCATCCCGACCCGGGCATCGCGCATCTCCAAAGGTTTGCGGTTTTCCCGACACCCATCGTGACCATGACTCGTCATACCTCCATCGCATATATGTCTGACTGACCACATAAGACTGTCAGGCTAATTTTTGCTCGATCTTCGCGGGACGCTTGTAAATTCGAATTTACGCGAGACGAACCGCGAGTACCGCTGCGTCCGCTCAAGTATGCAGCCAAGCCTACTCTGTCGCCATGCCGCACTTGGATATTCCCATGCGAGCTCGCATTGCCTTGCCTCGAGGTTACCATCCATCTTGCACAGTGACCAGCCGTGAATATTGCTGGTAACGCTCGGGAAATTTGTGCGCGCCCAATCCCGTTGGCAACTCGGTCAGAATGAATAACACAAGCTCTAGTGACCAGAAGGTTGGGCCGACGACTGAACAGGGGCAAGGTGGTCAGCGGTACCGTATGCGCCGATGATGAAGACTGAGTTGCCAAAGAGAGATGGTTTACGCAAGCCCGATCGCAATGGAACAAACAAGAGCCAGGGCCTAGGGCCGTGCTCATGCACATGCACACATCACGTCGCACCCGAGGTGGTTGGCGATCGATGGATACAACATGACCCATGAAAATGCCACCATCCGAACAACAACACAATACTACGGCCGAGCTGTTGCGAAGTTGTCCTATGTCCTGGATGGATCCGCGTCAGTTTGAAGAGAAACACAAGGCGTTGTGAAAGACACCCATCACAAGTCCGCATCGTTCAAGTGTCAATGTTGCATATTTCTCTTTGTTCATCTCGAGTTGTCTTAGCGTCGCTCCTATAATGATGGCGGTCTGCGACCCTAAGAACGATTCCCGGCGGTGCCACAAGACGTTTCGAACAGCCTATCGACAGGGGAAATTAGCCGAACATCCTTGAATTGCGCACTGCCCGTTCCTGGATCCTCACGACCGTCATATGCAACCCCGGGACCGTCGGTTTGAGCGTCATCGTAAGCGCGCAAACCCGTTCGCGGCAAGCCCGCGCTTAAATAGACGCCTGCAGTCAATCGGCGCGCCTCCACATGCCGGTTGGAGCCAAAGCAAAATATGGTTGTCAAGACACGCAGATCATCGAGCTTTATTGAGCTTTTCAAGTTTAAAACACCACGCAAGAACACTGAGACGATCTTCAAGCTGGTCTCGAATTGGCGAAACTCGCATTATAGAATTTCATACGACGCACCCATACACTGACACCATGCAGCACCCACATGCGCGCAGATGAGATCCGATTAGCATTGACCGTGTCTTGCAGCATAGACGGTAGCATTTGCAACGTATCTGATGACAACGTCTACTAGTAACAAAGGGCCGGAAGCACTTACTCGCAAGTACGATTGATTAAACCCGCTCCAGCCAATGAAGGTGGCATATCAACCAACCAAAGTCTCCACCGTGTCGCGGAGCGCGTTCAGACACGTGTAGTTTATACATGCGTTGATCTCATGTCGACCGGCGAACGAAAGGGATAGCTCATTTCCCGATTGTCGCTTCTGGAGATTCGCGGATACAAGAGGATCTGGCGAAGGCTGAAGTCGTGTGAAGGTAGTCGATCTTAATGAACGGGATCCACGACTCCGGGTGAGGCACTGGGCCACTTTCGGCCAATCGGGGCGATGAGAGTGGGAAGAGGAGTGAACTGACATTGGGGCCTATTCTTCGCTTGCTCCTTCGATACCTCTGGTCCATGTCTCCCGGACGACCGACGTTGCGTCGAGACGCAAAATGCATTGCTCCCTCGATCTCAACGGGACGGGCGAACAAGCTAGACGTAAATGATTCGGCTTCGCGAATAGATAGTGTCCATTCAGATCACAGTCGAAGTAGGATTCGCCTTCAGCTTTGAGAGAATATCAAGTGCTGGATGCAAACGGGGATGAGATCAAGTGAAGGTGGGAGAATGGGCCTTGTGCCTGCATTCTGAGCGTGGCACTGCGTCAGCGTCAAGAGGTCGCCTACCCTCAATGCACGCCTTCTCCGCGTGTCCACAGGTGGCGCGGAGCGTCCTGATCCTCCAGATGAACACGAGCCACGAGTACGGCAAAAGCCCATAAGCAGGCTAGTGAATTGTTGAGAGGCAGGTCAGCGTTGGAAAGCCACTTGCGCACGCAAACCGGCGTGCAACTGCCCGTCCTCGCTTGAGTTCGTGGATGAGACGGGAATAGACCGGCCAGGACGTTGAAACATGATCTAGTGCGCACAGAAGTCTGATTTCGCGAGCCTGCTTCGTGAAAAAATGCAGGAGAGTATTCGAGGAAAGGAAATGGGGAGCCGGACAGGAGGGGGGAGTCGGACTTGGGCGGGCAGTGATTATTTGGATCTCCGCAATAATCGCGGGTGAGATTCCCGCTGTGGTTTCGCCCGAGTCGCTCTCCTTCCATCGCATTCACACATGAGAGCTTCGTGCTGCTAAGGTCCGCCGACCCGGTCGTATATAAGCGGCTCGATGCGCTGAATGGATCCCCCATCCTCGCCGGGCTCTCCTCCCTTCTCGTCGCGTCTGTCTTACCTCCTTCACCATGTCCTTCGGCCACCGCCAGAACACTGCTTCCCTCTTCAACGACGCCTCGCACGGCGCCACGGCTGGGTATGACCTCAGCACGTATGAGGCGTCCCCCGGCGAGACATACGAAGCCACGGATGTATCCCCTACCCAGAGCTAGTGAGCATCTCGTATGCTCGGATAGGCCGCCAATGCTCATCGATGCTGCTAGCCGCCCTTCGTTTGCACAGAGTACCGGTCGCGCCTACCCTTTATACACTAGCCAGACGCGCTTGTAAGCATCCTTGGTTGCATATATGTGGGCCACTCTGATATTGTCGTCATCCAGAAATGAGGAACCTCGAAATTATACAGGTCCCACTAATACTACTCAGTATATTCAGTGGGTGTTCACTCTATTACTCACCATTAGCCCTCCTGACAGTAAAATTGACTTGAAGGAGCTCCAACTCGTTTTATTCTACCCATAACGATTCATCGTACTTGCTGAATACTTACCCTAGTCACCCTAATTATATGTAAGCTATCCAGTATCTCCCATCGATCATCCCTGTTTCTGACAAAGCCTCAAGAATCTCGCCGACAGGACTCACTCCTGAGCTATCAAGCCTTGCTCTTCCCGATGGGAGCTTGTAAGTTTGTTATCCGATCGAGTATATCGCCTTTACTAATTATTGTTGTAGGACGGCACCCTCGCCGACCAGCACGATCTCCAGCTTGTCGCAGCAGAGTCCTTACATTGGCACTACGTATAATACAATTCACGGCGACTATGACTATCAGGATTCGACCAACAGCCACGTTATCCCTCACGGTCGCACTGGCAGGCAGCGGAGCCCGACATCTCCCTACAGCCCCATCCCTCCGACCCTTTCTCATCACCGTGAGCGCGACATGTACCCTCGCTTTTTCAGACAAGCGCCCCCGCTGTCCTCGCCGCTGCTCAGTGCCTGCGAGCACCCCAACTCCGTACCCTGTCGCTGGGGAAATTGCTACGTCTTACTAGACGACCTCTCCGTCGGGGGGATAAAGCGTCACTTTGCGCAATACCACAAAGACGAAGCCGTTCCCGAACACAAAGGCCATCGCGGACGGTGTCAATGGGTCGACGGCACCGTCTGCAACAGCGAGCTCGACCGCGCTGGACTCGCGAAGCATGTCGCCGCGAAACATCTCAGAAGCCTGGCGCGCGTCTGTCCCTACTGCAATACTGTCATCGGCCGTCTCGACTCTCTCCGTCGTCACATGCAAGATCACTGTACGTCGCGTCCGTTGCAGAGCAATTCGGGCAGGTAGGGTCTCGTGAGGTGGCTTCTGCCAGCGCTACCATCGTTGGCTATGGCAGCACCGGCGAGTACTGCAAGGGCTCTTATTGACAAGCTCTCTCATCCCCTTCTTCCTCCCCTTTACCTCCGTTTCCGTGCATCTTGTCTTTATGTTCTGCTGCTCTTCGTCTGCTATTTCCATGCACAGTATGATCGCTCTAAGCTCGACGTTTCCGAGGACTTCCTGGCGGAGTCAAAGCCCGGCCACTTATATCCGTACACTTAGACTTGTATCGCGTAGGGTAATAAATGTGTATTTTAGGCACCATCTGTGTGCTTCATGGACATGTCCCACTTTTTCATAGCAGTTTGTGTTTATTCAATTATGTTTGCCGAATGGCCGGGATCAGGCACGATTGCCGATTTCCGATTAAGGCGGCGCAGTGCGCTGAATTTGCGATCTGGAAGATTCAATGTTCGGATATCCTATCTGGGTAACCCATGATAAGTTATCCAACATGAAATCCTTGCTGTGCTCCACAGCCTTCAGTGCCGCAGAGCACATGTGCGTACTGCAAGCTGTACATAATGTCTCCGAGGAGTCAAAGCGGCTCGAGCCTCGAGGTCTGCGCAGACATAGGCTTGGCCAAAAAATATTGGGCTGCTAGATTGTCTCATTGCCGGCTGAAGGCTCCACTTCCCCGCCCGGGCGCACAGATGAAACCGCGTATCGAAAGTCATCTTCATCAGAGGACTGTCATACCCCTCCATTTCCGAGCTTCTGAGTCCTTGTTCTTGTGTGGACTGATGCCAGCATGCTTCCAGGCAACCCCGCAGACTTGCCCCTGCACAGCAGGACGAAGACGGGCAGTCGGACTGAACTGCGTCCCCGACGCCTGCCAGGGTCGCTGTTCTGACGGGCATAGCAGAGCACCGCGACCATGGCCTGGGATGGGTGTGCAAATGCCCCCGAGCTGTTCCCATTACATATTGGCCCTGCGAAAACAGATCGGCGAAACGCCGACCGACGACCAGGACGTGCTTGCGAAGTAGCGGAATGTGCAACGCCGACAAGAACTCGGATATGACCCTCGTTCTCGAGCCCCGTCAGAACCCAACGAGCTTCTGTTCACTGTTACAAATGGGTCCGTTCTAGGCCGGATCGATGCTTTCATGGCCCAAGAAGTACTGGCGTCGTCCCATGGCCCAGTGGACGACCGCGTTCCGCCGATATTTGCGCGTTCGCTCGTAAAGGCATTGGAGCGTATATGAAATGCATACCAGATCGTTCAAACGCGCACGTCGGACGTGCGCGCGCAAGCGCCAGAATCTGTACCCTGGCGCAGGCGGTGAAGGTCCGCAAAGCTCTGCAATGCGGCTGTGGTCTGATATTCATCACAAGTGCGCACAAGGAGTAACGCTGACCAGGCACGCAGAAATCCCTGCTAGGATTTCACCAGAACCCGAGATATGGCTCTTCGATGTCGCATACCCATTCCAATTGCACTGCCGGGCGATGTCAGCAGGTGCGGACACCATTGACATTACCCGCCCTACCCGAACTCTGTGATCACATGGCAAGCCAGACTGCAATAAAAATCTTCCTAAATTACTTATGCGGGGGATTTACGCCGGCGATTCCAAGTATGTTGCGACCGGCGTTGCGATAAGCAGACTGTCGCGCATCTTGGGCATCGAAACACTATCATATGCATTCTATTCCTGTGAAGGTCTACTATGTGTCGTCTTCCCAGCTGTCTGGAACATCTTCAACAACAGCGACAGTAACGGGAGACGGGATTTGACGGGAAGGTGTCGCAGATGGAGGGAGCCGAGCAGTCGGCCTGGCATCGAGTGCCGCGCCCCATGCATTCGGAGGAGTGTGTGTAGGGACCAACGGAGGCTGCCGTGCAACAACCGACCTCCACGCTCCACCAGAGCCGCTCGCGACCGGCGGAGGGGCGGGGGACGGGACTGGTGATGGCCGTGGGCGAAGTGCCGGGGCACGCAAGTCAGTCAGCTTACCCAGGCTGAATGACGAGGCGCCAATTGACGGCGACACTGTCGCAGAGGTAGACAGAAGTGGGGCAGGGATGCGAGAATCAATCCTTCGCAACAACTGCACGCTGCGATTGGGTTCCTGGTCCACCATCTGGGTGTCCAGCCGATACACGGCAGCAAGCTGCCATTACGAAGGCGTTTCAGACATAACATCCATATCCACGTTAACAATTACTCACATCATGCACGAACTTCCTCTTATTCTCGGACATTTGCGCCAAGATCTGGCTTTTCTTGTCCGAGGATAGAAAGCTGTACAACAACCTGTCAGTGACCGCTCTGAGTGAGCTCATATCGCCCTAACGTACTCAGATAAGCTCTTCTCTACCATGGAGCAGAATCTAGGGTTTGCGCGAGCGAAGACAAGAAGTTCATCGTTGTAGATGACCTGCCTATCTCCGGGAGTTTCATGATTCGGATTGATACCGAGAGCTTCAGCCAAACGCGCATTGCGTTTTGCCACCAGACATTCATTCGAGCACTTCAATTGCTGAGATCCTTCGCGTCCAGCAGGGTTCACAGTGCTCCGTCCGCACGGGGCAGACTGGCGAATCCGACCACACGGACAACTCAATGTGATAGTCGCGCGACAGGGCTCCGATTCCGAGCACGCTGCGGGGACATGGCACGATAGGGCACAAGGATGGTGTGCTGGAAGGCTAACAAAACGAATCAAGTGGCTCAACCTTCTCACCCCATTGATCATTAGAAAGTGGATCACGAACCAGAGTTTGCGCGACTTGCCGCACACGCTTGTACATGAACCACACCCATCGTCATGGCAAAGCCGTTCGCAATGATGGAATCCGCACGAGAGAAGCCTGACGCAGTAAACCCGATCGTCAATTACACTCAACAGTCAGCTTTAGTTACCGGAACTCACTTTCCACAAGGTGTGCCGCAAGATATTTTCTCCTGTGAACATCTGACATTGCTCACCGTCTTCTTCCCACAAGCACAGATCTTACTCGCTAAGAACGGACAGGAGGGACAGGATATCGGGTCTTCATGGCATGCATGCTGTGTCTTCGGATGACCACAGGGAAGCGGGGGACGTTCACACGGATAATGACAACTTATGCGGGTCCCGCATGGAATGGGCGGCTCGAGGATTGTGCGGCCACAATGGCAGATCATCTAGATGACGATCAATGCTGAAGATTTACTGCATGTAAAGATCCGTACGTACCTCTTCGAAGGAGCTCCTCAGGCAGGACGGGCACGCCCCCTTGTGATCCCGCCTCTCGCACTTGTGATTGCCACATGGAAGCGTCTTGCCACAGACGAGATCGCATTCATGCCACCCAGTATCGTCTATCGCCATATCCATCGGCCCAGCACGTTTCTTGCCCTTGCCCTTCGAGGTACTAGCCAGGGACGCAAGCGGACAACAGATGCGGTTGCACTGATGACGACCACATGCGCGAAGCGCGCTACACGCTCGATCACACAAAATCTCGCCCACCCCCACCGCAGCTTCCCCACGCGCCTGGTCCTCCGAGCAGGAGATACGACGAGTTGTTGCACCACACCGACACGGGCGCACGAGCATGACCCCACAAGGCGGACATGGTCCTATGTGGCAGCGGACAGCACAAGCGTGCGTGCATCCCTCGAGCGGCTTCATGCAAATTGACTCACACGTTGGTATGGGATCGGCGCACGATGCCCGTGTGAGGAGCGCACCCGGCGAAAAAGCGGAAGCCGACGAGGGCGATAGAGCGTACTTCCCGCAGGGACAGTGCGAGATGCGGGATGGCGATCTCGGGCACGGTTCCGGCGTCTTGGAGGGCGGATGGCATCGCTGGTTGCAGCGGTGCAATCCGCAATCGAAATACCTGCTACATAGATTGCCACAGTCGAATCTTCCAGTCCACCGTTGTTCTTTGCCCGATTCAACCACTGCGCACTCCTTCTCCGCGCCATCGCCGCACGGAACCTCTTTCTCCTCCCTCCCACAGTAACATCTCACCAAATCCCGCACCCCGCAAGGTAAACAGGATCCGGAATGGCAAATCTGCTTGCACTTGTGATTTCCACAGCCAAGCGTGCGCCCGCACACTTTACCACAGGACAGCTCTGCGGCCGCCTTATTGTTCGCCTTGTCCGGTGCCAAATTTGCACACTGGAACGAGAGAATCTGCTGACCACAATGGCACGGCAGCTGGGTCATAACTTTGCACGGCGGGCAAGGTCCAGGATGACATGCAAATGGGCATGTGTGGCCACATACGCGAGGGCGCGAACACAGATTTGCGCAAGAGTGTGGTGTCGAGAGCCGAGGGGGCTTCGGATCGGGTGTAGAGCCGCAAAAGCACCTAGGAGGGATTTCAGAATCACATAGAAACCCAAGCCCTGAAGATATACTCACCAGTACACTATAGGAAGCGTCGTACGTCTTGACTGACATCCAGGGCACCTCCACTCTCCATCCTTTTCCTCTCCCCGCGCTCTCCACGCGTTCACAACGTCCTTCATATTCTTCTCCGCCCATGGGCGTATGCATTTCAAATGGAAACTTGTCCAACAGCACTGTGCAGTCTCTCCTTCCCTCCTGGCAGTCTTGGAACTGTCCGGATTGTCATCTATAGCAGCGGCAGCGGGTAATACCGGCGAACACGACCATATAGGCTGGTTTGGGTGGATGGAAGAGAAACAGATGAGGCAATCGGGATAGGGCTGCCCACTCAACTCGCGAATCAGCCTTGACATCAGGTCGTCACCTTTGGGCAAGTTACGGCGGGGCTTCTTAGCCCCCCGGTGATTTTGGTCATTGTTCGATGCATTGCCAGCAGCGGGAGCAGCTTCTGTAAGGGTTGGATTAAATTTTACGCCCCGTCGATAAGGTTTCCCGGCTGCCGTCTCTCCGGTATGCACCGTCTGAGATGCTACAGAATCACTGTTCTGAGAGGTCCGATAATGGGACCTGGGTGAGGGATGGCGCGGTCGACCCCTTGGGGCTGCTGGCCCAGGCGCAGGATTTGTTCTTGCATCCACACCATGCGTATCTTGTGAGACAGATACAGGTTGTGCAGAATCGCCTTGAGACGGATCTCCACCTCGTCGCTCCGCATGTACCCTTCTTTGTCCCCGTCGTTTTCCCTTCCCTCGTGGTGGACCTGGGCCTGGTGTATCGGTGGTCACTTGGTCACTAGTTTGTCCGCTGCGATGTCCACGTCCATGATTTCGATGAGTGTCTCCGTCAATATTGTTCACAGATTGGGTCTGGTGGGTTACAGAAGAGGATGTAGACATGCACCAGTCGTAGTGATGGTCTTGTAAGGCTCTCCTTGAGTAGGCGTATTTATCCACTTACTCTCCGAATGACCAAGCCTCTCTAGGGTATATGTGACTGTTGTCGAGTCAAGAGCAAGCTGTAAGAACCAGTCAGGTCGAGGAGCTAAGTAGTAGACGAGAAGATGATGGGCTGCAGTGAGTCCTGACTCACAAGCCGGCACCGATCAATCAGGGCGAAATCAGTAATCGCGCATGACATGAGTCACAGTGACATCGACGTCGTCACAGCCGACGCCCTAGCTACGCCGGCTTGTGGCAATATGACAGCACTCTCCGAGACCGAGGAGTTACTACGTAGTCAAGTCTCATAAGCCTCTCAAGCTCTCAAGCTCTTGTGCATGTGCTTAGGCTATGGCTTTGGCGGGAATAATTATTACTACCGACTCGTGCCATGGTCTGACTAAGACTCGGACAAACTTTGGACGTCGTCATTACTTGTAATCAATTGCTTGTGGAAGCTTACTTTGCCCCACCATCTCTCTCAGCACTACTTCATTTTATGCAGAGGGCTGTTTCCTACTTGTCCCAAATTACTCGACATTTGTCCGGTTCCGCTATGTCACTGCCGCAAACCGTTCAAGCGATCGCGATATCCAAGACAGGAGATTTCGATGTTATCGAGAAGACGGGGGTACCGTTCCCGAAGAGGGACTCGGGAGACATTGTGGTGAAGGTACGCATAATGTTCACAATTCTCACTCCGCCTAATGTGTGATGCAATTGTAGATGCACTACGGGGGTGTCAACTTCATAGATACCTACTACAGGTGTGCACGGAATTGCGCAGAAGTTCAAGAAACGCGGCTTACGCATTATTGAGTCAGGAAAGGACTTTACAAAATCACTAACTTCCCGTTTGTGCTCGGAACCGAAGGCTCTGGTACAATCGTCAGCCTGCCTACCGATCCTGACGTTGTCAACAACGAAGAATACAAGAAGCGTGGCTTCGCGGTCGGCAAGAATGTTGCGATTGTAAGTGTAAAACTCGTTCGTGTCGTAGTGAGCCTTTTCATTGAAGGAGGACAGTACACTCTGGGTGCTTTCTCAGAATATACTAGTGTGCCATGGCGACCTGTCATCGTGCTTCCTGATAATGTCCCCCTCATCACGGGAGCCGCAGCGATGACGCAAGGTGGGTCTGGTTCGCCCTCCCTTACTGTTCACTTCAAGTGACTTTCATTGACATCCAGGGCTCACCGCTTTGACGTTCGTCACTGAAGCATATGAAGTGAAGAAGGGCGACATCGTCCTTGTTCATACAGTTGCTGGTGGGCTGGGCCTTCTCTTTGCGCAGCTCATCAAGGCTCGCGGGGCTACAGTTATTGGTACCACCAGCACTCCAGAGAAGGCGGAGCTCGCTCGCGCTCACGGTGCAGACCATGTGATCCTATATCCTGTCGAGGATACAGTACAACGCGTACTGGAGATCACCAATGGCGAGGGTGTCCACGCCATCTTTGACGGTGTCGGGAAAGATACGTACGTGTTTCTTCCAGATTCCACACTCACGGTCATACCGTGATGACGTGTATCAATATGACCGCAGGTTTGAAGCTGACTTCAAGATGCTCCGCCGGAAAGGCACCCTCGTATCGGTGGGCAACGCATCGGGCGCTGTGCCACCGTTCCCTCCTGCAAAACTCGGAGAGAAAAATATCAGACTTCTGCGTCCTACGTCAGTGCCAATGGTCCTTGATGTAAACTCATCACTTATGTGGATACAGGATGGGTAATTATGTTGCTACTCCAGAAGAAGCGGGACGATACGGCGCTGAGCTTTTCAGACTCGTCGCTGAGGGCACGTTGAAGATCAATATCTTTAAGGAGTATGCGTTTACGGGGGAAAATGTACAGCAAGCTCAGAAGGATTTGACCGGTGGGAAGACGACAGGAAAGCTGGTCATCAGGATATTCGAGTAGGGTTCACCCTATGATATTCTGCGAATAGTGCACTTGTGAGGGGAAATCAAATGGAAGCGGCTGTAAATGTATTGTATAGCACTTGTTCACCGAAAATGAGACAGTCTTCGCGATAGTCACAATAATAATGCCATATACGCCTGGTTTTTTGTTCCGGTAAAGAACTTCTCAAAATGCATCTCCTGTTGAGAGATGTTTCCGTAAAGAGCTCAGATTTCAATATTATCTTCCCAAGAACCAAAAGGATTCGGCGACCAACACAGGATAAGAATCGTGGCTCGGGCATCTCCGAGCCCGAATGGGTGTGGCAATAGATGCTTTCATCCGAACACGCGTGTTCGGATGAAAGCATCTTGTGAGTACGTTCACAGTCGGTTCACAGTCACATCTTAGGCTTCGAGCGGACTCGCATGATGCTCGCTCCAAAGCCCTCATCATACCCTAGCTTTTTTTGGCTAAGCACTGTCTGCATGATGTCCAGACTTGGACCCTTCACATCGGAGAGATCAAATTCCGTGCGTCACTTGCAGATACATACAAAGGCATGGGCACTGCGCGCACAGGATAAATTGACTTCTAGGTGGTGGGGCGATGCTACGTCCAACGACGAAGATACAGGCCATTTCGCAGATGATTTGCCTCATTCGTGCCGATCAGTCAGTCGGAATCGAAGGAGGGCAGGATCAATAATACGAGTTGTATGGCGATGTCAGGTCCTCCTGTGCTTACATGTTTCAAGTCTCAATTGGGAAGGGAAATGCCTGTTCTTCATTGTCGTCGGACGAGGAGGGGAGGAGGATAAGCTCGTGATCACAACGATATGGGCCGTACCGATTGCAAGCAGGACTTCGTTAAGGTTAACTTATGCAGGAACTGTTCGTCATATTTTCGTTCGTCGTCGAATCAGCAAACATGACCTCCTATTCACACCCTCTTATCTAGTGGCATTTTGTTCTTCGCATATGAGGCTTTTCTCTAGAACATTGTAGTATCATCGTGGCGGACTTCTTTGGAAAGGGCAGTGGTTGGACATGTAGGGTGTTGAAATGCACGGCGTGCGTGATAAGGCTTGGCTTTTGGTAGGACAGATGCAGCACATGCTGACGGCTCGTATCTCATGAATCGCAACTAATGTGCGCTCCGATGAGACGGACAAACCCTGTGCGGTGGAATCGTGTGGCTCAAATTTTAACCCACAGGTTCGAATCGGATGCTGGTGTTATGGAAAGTGTCTTCAGTTTTGCACGAACGGCACAGCTGGTATCATTTCATAAGAGGGCTCGTCTCCTTGTTCTGTGATTCCATTTGATCAAAATGCTCCTTTGTTTGCGCGTACTTATCGCAATGCATATAAGCGTTCCGTTTTGTCATGTTTTGGCTGGATAGCTCTCAAAGAGAGTTCCAGCTTGGATCATACAGAAATAGGAATACAATATTTGGGGCTTATTATATCAGCAAAAAACGGTTATGGTACACTACGGAAAAACAAAGTTTGACGAGCGCAATTAAACTGAACTCAATCTATGGTACGCAGCGCCCGTGCCGATCCTTTTTGGTCCTCAGAATTCTCACTTGACCTCCCAAAATACGCGGGTCTCTTCGGAACTGTCATATCGATAATCTCATGGGCAACGACGCGACTAGGCACGCCTTGATGCTCATATTCTCCCCGCGACTCTTATGCATGACCACACGAGTTCTTGAGATGGCGAATGACACAATCACGCCGGGAGAACTGCGTATGGCACCGAGGGCACCACTCGACAGTGCTCTTTAGGTGGACTGACGCGATGTGTTTCCCAAGGCCCGTACGATGAAGCGTCTTGCCGCATACTTGGCCGTCTTTGTCGACAGTCCATTTGCATACTCCGATGGGTGTAATAGGTTCTGGGACAGCCTCGTCCGCGTGGAAGGCTGCAAGGTGCCGTTTCATTCCCGGAACTGATACGTCGTCAAGCAAGATCATGCATCCTACCCAAAAACAAGGAATGCGCGGGGTCGGGTACGAGACGGCCGACTGCGCTGTTGCCGCAGGTGGAATTGGGAGGTCTTGCTGGAGGGAAAATATTCTGGGAAAGACACACGGTCGCGGAGAGGCTGTAGTGGCAGCGATGGTGGTGTCATCGACTGGTTCGCGCTCCTTCATGTTGATACGGCTGTATGGGACAGAATGCGCAGAGGGGGGACCCTTGATCTCCTCATGGCCTCCATAGCGGTATGTTTCCTCGTACGGGCCTATCTGCAACTTGTTGGGTGGAAGAGATCTCGGGCCCGAATACTCCATCGTGACAGTATTGCTGAAACTATTCTGTGAGTGATATGCAGCAGGGCCTTGAACCGAATATTACGCACAAGCTGTCCTCAGCGAGCTGAGCAGTTAGAAATTGAAAATCAGATAATACATTCCTGTATTCTGGAACATGTGCAGGGGAGATTTGCGATAGAGCAGGTCGACAATTAATATCGCAGGATCCTATATTGTTGCTGCGAAGGTCAAGAAGAGGAATCAGCGGTCTCACCTTGCAGAGGATGAGAGCAGTAACATAAAGACTTACGAGTAACGAGGCTGTGAGCTATAATCGCCACAGGATGACTGCGGGTTAGGAGGTGAGACCAAACCAGTCGCTGTGACGGCCAAAGGAGTCAATGATATCTTTCGAATGGAGGTCATAGTGAAAGAGAGGGAATGGTATAGGCGAGAGTCATCCAATAGTCCAAGCTGAGGAAGCATTCCTTAAAAGCCCAAAGTTGTGATACTGCGACGGTCACAGAGGACAACACTTGTGTCACTTTCAAGTTGCACGCCGCAGCCCTGCAAGCATTATTTGTTTGTCCAAGTGAGTCCGCGTAGTGCAGACTACAAAATTGAGCTTCCCAATTTGACCTGAGCAGAGGTCACTTGTTCGTGCTAGTCAAGGAGGCATGGTGTCTGTCAAAGAACGGCAGTGGCATAGCCTGGGCGTCTGTCAGCACGAGCCAGTTGGCCCTGGGCCTGAACGCCTCCGCCTTCCAATGACTCACCCACATCTTCTCGCGCCACCGCGGCCTTAAACACGAGTCTTCAATGCATTGATGGTAGCCAAACTTGTAGCCATGGCCCAGTGCCAAGCTTCAGCTTCATTCTCGTGTCACTCGTGAACATCTCACCACTGTGAAAATCAACTGGCCAAAAACTGAGCCTCGAAATGCACTTGAACTTGATCTGCACGTTTGGTATTGTCCTTGACTTGATAGAGATGCGCCATCGCAAGGCCAGCATACCCTAATTAGAGAACAAAGTTTTGACTCCAAGAGATTGTTGGCCCATACTCTGATGGCGGCCTGAGGTATTCGCAACTAGTCCGCTCCAATCAGATGAATGATAAATGGGTGACAAAACCGACTGCGGCCCATCGCCAGGCGAAGTTATACCGCAATTTATTTGAAGCGGGGGTGGTCCGCGATAATTTCCGCCGCGCCGCCCGACGACTGAGGTGAACGTCCAAGGTAAGGGTAAACTGTATGTCAACAGGGTCCGGTCCAGCTAGCATTGATCACATGCGGAAAACGCGTTGCACATTGATCAATCTTCCTCCCCAATAGTTGACAGATGAGATGATTGCTGCAAAATTGGTGAAGTTTGCTCTTCATAGCTGGCAGCAAAGGATGATGCGAGAAAGCTTGATGCTCAATAAAGGGAAAAGCTCGGACCAGGATGCTTCGAAAATTCCGATCAAGGCCGCAGCGACAGCAGACTCAGAACCACGTCATGATGTCATCTACTACAGTCATGAACGATACATGTTCCAAGCCGCACAATTGCCCAGCATCATGATTGCGACTAAGATGATTCAAATTAATCAGTTGCTACTGCCTTTCCGACGGATCATAGTGTCGCTCACCATCGCCTTTCCCGAACTCGCGGGAACGAACATACTAAAAATCACAATTCTGAAACATTCCCAATTTGTCCTCATTCAGATATGGGAACACACACCTATTGCAAGCTTAGCCTACATCAAGACAAATATGCATAGTGCAAGCACTATGTTGAGAAATCTGTAGACAGAATGATAGATAATGTAATCAGAGCCAGAAAAGACAGCGTGTAGTAACGACAGACGTTAGAAGAGATGAAATGAACGGCGCTCGGCACCGCCCACGGTGACAAAACCATCCACGAAACCCTAACACAACATGTAAATCGTAAAGCCATGAGATCATCGAGGTGCGCGTGGCAGAGCCAAAGCCTGGGTACGCGTTTTTGATGGTGCACAGCATTTGCTTTTGGAGTGGCGAATCCTGGCGTCGCGCCTAGAAAACAACTCGCCGCAGCTTGGACATTCATCAACTGTGCTCTTGAGATGGACTTCAGCAATGTGCTTCGCAAGGCTCGTCCGATAGACCCTCTTGCCACACTCTCGCCCGTTGTCCTTGACCCATCTACATTTCCCTGATTATTTCTTGAATTCCGATACGGCTTCGGCCTTATGAAAGGCTAAGAGATGTCGTCGAAATCCACCAATGGAAACATCATCAAGTAGAACGCGGCAAGTCGACCAAGAGCATGGTATCCGCTGAGGCGGGTATGTGGCAGCAGACGAAGGATGGATATGAGAACCTCGACAGTCACTTGCACTGAGAGGCTTCACGGAAGCGACATGGGCGGGAAGGCTAGTGTCGCCAATGTTGGCATGAGAATGAGGAGAGAAGTCGCCTTGGGGGATGGGACGGCCTTCGGCAAGCTCAACTTGGTGTCCATCACTTCTGTGAGAAATTCCAACTGTAGCCGGATCAGGTATAATCAAATGCTGGCGATAGTGAGCTGGGGCATAATAATGCGTTGTTTCGCTTCGGGGGCTTTCGATGAATGTTTGACTCTGTCCGGGGGTTTGAATTTGCTCGGTAGTTGAGTGGGTATGAGCAAAGACGTTGGAAGTAGGACGCGCAGCGTGTGTCGACGGATTGAAGAGATTCCTTATCGGAGTATTTTTGGTCTCGTTAAATCCTGAGCTAGACTGAAATGAGGATATGCTATGAAGAATGTCAGCGGAATATAATTGGTACTCAGGTAGTCATTTGTACATACGCATCTCCACTGGTCGTCCTGCGAAGATGTGAGGTATAACCATTGGTTACTTCAAGCCTGTAGCAAAAAGTTACAATCGCGATTGGAAAAAGTAAAGCTGTAATAATTCTCACATGGAGCCATCCTGAATGTGCGCATTGCTATCAAAACAATGCCTAAAATCATAGTAAATCGTGGGACTACTGCTCAAAAGTGAATGCGGTTGAATGGCGGGAAACGCACCCTCTCGAAGAATACAAATGGAGTTGGGAGTTGATACTCGCGGGAGGGTGTTGTCCTGTTTCACTGACGGCTGAAAGAGAGGAACGTGTCTGCAAAGGCTGCATCGGCATTGTGAATGATCGTGACGGGTTAAGAGAAAGTGAAGGCTGGAAGAGGAAGGCCTTGATATCTTCTCGCATTCCAATGTTCGCCTTAAATACATGCCCCAAGCGCCAGGTGTGTCATCGGCCGGTATATCACCCACGTACCCCAGTTTTGGTCTATCGCATACTCGGTTGCAAATGGCTAGGAACCTGGACGAGGTAGTGATGAAGTGGAGCGGACTTCAGAGAACGCCGCCCGCTCCTGTGCCCACATTGTGCGCATGTGCGCCGCTCTTTCCAGTAAGCCATTCCATGCAAATCATTTATGTGCACCTTCCCTGCATAATGTGATGGGCCACCGACATTACGGAACTTCGTGCTGTGCCTACGGCTGTGGCTAAGGCAGTGAGGCAGCGATTCGGGACGAGGACCTCAAGTGACTTACCATGTCATTCGTATCGTGAAGTCTCCGGAAACAAGACCGCTCTTGTCGAATGCGTGCCGGACCAGCAATCCAGAGAGGGTCCAGCTTGAGATTTGGCAGGGAGGGGGAATCGAAGAGACGAACCGCTTCCAATCATGTTCCGATACATCTTTGATGCGCCAGTGTTAGTAGTGTGTTAGTGCGTAGTTACATAAGTGCATTGCGTCAACTTCCGAATCTCACGCACAACTACGCCTCGCCGCGCCACCGCCAATGGCACCTCGCCCTTATTACTTGGCTAATCTTGCGCTTTTGCGGACTTGATCCCGTACGTTCGATGTTCTGCAACTCGCTGCTGAGTGGATACAAGAAGCATGTTAAACATTGGCACGCGGGGTAGCGGTAGAACTTGACTAGAATAGGCTCATGTAACGTGGCTAATGGGAATGCACACTACACGCGACTACACGAGGAGACTGGATTTGATTTCTATCGTCTTGGCATACAGGCCGGTTCATACCAATCATGATCAGCGGGCACCACGGATGTGCCCAGTCTGTGGAGGCGGGTGAGTTTATGTTGCTTTTATTTGTTTCCGTCTCTTGCTCGTGCCACATGAATGATATACGTTTATTGTCTTCTCTATTAGGCGGATTAGGCCCACATCAAACGATAGCAATTGGTGTTGCACGGTCCTTCACCACTCGCCCTGATCACGATGGGTAATGAAGTGTCCGTCGGAAACATCTTTGCCATTATGATACGGTCCGAGCAAGTGCTAAGAGACGCTTCAGTCTGCTTCACCAGACCTCTACCTAGACTCCATGATGCCACATCTTCTCTGACCGGCTAGCGGTTAGTTCCTTGCTCGGAGTCCCCGCAATTTTCCATTTCGCTTTCGCTTGGCGGTGCGGTGATCGGCGCATGTATGTGTGATGATGTGTCCATGCGTACTCTGATCACTGTACCCAATACCGATCAAGGCATCAAGATAACTTGAAAGTTGGCGGAAGTGGCGCCTCGCCAGGATTGAATTTCTGCACATAACATGGCTTTACAGTAACAAACAAGAGAAGTTGTACATATTCAATGTTGTCATAGAAACCATAAGCCATATGTAATGCAAGATAACAATACCATAGATTTGGATAGATTAGGATAGCATGATCTGGCATATTGTCAAAATATCAATGACTTACAGAATTATTGTATGGGGGTGGATGTATCGATGAATGTGGATGAAAAAAAAAGATCGGAATGTCAAAACACGGCACGAAGCATCGGTACTATTGAGGATCATGCTCATGGCGTCCAGCTCCCGTGCGTCTGCCCGCACTGATAGTTGGAAAATTTGAATTAGCCACTGACTCGGCCCATGGAAAGTGGCGAAACCTTACCGGCCAGCCGCGCTCATCCGTGGTACATCCTCGCAGGTCTGTAAGTGGCGTTTGATCAGGTCTTTCCGGGCTAGCCGCGTGCCACATCGTGGGCATTGCGCAGTGACGCTCCTCAGGTGGACCGACGCAATGTGCTTCGCCAAACTCGCACGATACATCTTCCTCCCACACACCCGCTCGTCAAACCATTTGCATGTCCCCGGCTGAGTCTTATTTCGTAAGTCCGGGACGGCTTCAATGGCATGATAGGCTGCAAGATGACGGCGTATGCCTCCGATGGATGTGTCGTCAAGCATAATGCTACATTCTTTCCAGCCGCATGGGACCAGCCGCACCGATCTGGGGGAACGGGTGGGCGGAACCGTACCAGGATGAGACTCGTGTGTGTTATAGAAGGAAAAAGCGTTGTGTTTATACTGTCGCAAAGTCGTTTGTAGGGGCGGGGATGGCATGGGCGAGCGCCATCGTTCTGGGGAGATGCGGGGGTGAGGAAGGAAAACGTGGGCTGGCGAATGATCTGTCTCTTCACTGGGTACCCCGGAACCTATGCGGTAAGTGTCGTGTCTCGAAGGATTTTGCGGCGGTATGCTGTCGTTCATGACATTGCTTCCGGGATGCCTAGGATGTCTATGTTAGTCAAGCATAGAGATAAAAATGAATGGCACGTATGACGCACAAGCTGCCACGGGCGAAATCTATATCAGAAACGGGGATTGCAAGCACAGGTTCCGCATGGTACATGTCATAACAGCGGTTCAGAGAACTGCCATAGCTTGAGTTATGACTTGTAGGCACACTGAATTGATGGTCATTGAAGCTGTTCAGCGAGTGAAGATTGTGAGGATTGGTACTGGAAAGTCTGGGTAAGTCAGGGAGCCAATATTCTTGAACAAGATAAGAACTGACAGAGCTGACTGTGACCGATCGTGGCGAATAAAGGATAAACTTGAAGGTGACGAGAAGTGTGCGCCACCTGTCGAAGCATTCATAGTTGGCGTCTCGTCAGAGGGCGCTATGCACATGGCGGGGAGAGTTCAAAGAACAAAAGTTAAATAGAAAGGATAGTGGGAAAGGAATAGGAAGGCAAAGATTCCATTTGACTTTGGGATGGACGGAGATGGAGAGCTGTTTTATACAACTTCGAGTTGATAAGTCGACGGTGGTCAAGATGGCGTGAAGTCCATGCGCCACTGCGACAATGATGTATGTTGACAGTAGCCCACATCAATGATTCCCCATCACACAAACGGCCACGCTGCAAGACTAGATATCTATCAAACAGGAGGCTGCATCTCACCCCCCAGGGTCCCCACTGACAGCACCAGACGCTGGACTCCTCATTTTTTGTGACGAGTTGGGGGCTGAGTAAATGTGGATAATAAGCATATGGCGATACACTAACTGATGTACTGAAGAACTGCTTGCTACATACATGTCACTGAGATCGCCTTGTGTGAGATTATATTGTTAACTGGCAACTGAACAACTGGTTTAGAGTATTGTGCGACTCGGTGATGGCCAACCGAGCCTGATACCTAGATGCCCATTGTGTCCGAGATCTAATCATGAGCGACGGACCGACGAGGACCGACGTGGCTCATTGGGCGGTGCAGCCTTGATGTGTTCTCGTCAAGTTATAGTCCAGTCGACATCCGGCAGACGTGTTATACTCCCTCTCTGATGTATCTAGCTGTCGATTTCGCTTTCTGCGCACGGGCTATGGTGCACTGGACACGATGAGTGTGTAGAGAGAACAGCATAGTATTCTAAGAAGTTGAGTTTCTCAGCACTGTAAGTTGCAATATGCCTTTTCGGCATGCGACTGAGTACAGGACAGCAGATACTCCGAGATGCCGTGGCTATGCAAGTGCGAGCTGAGCACGACGGCGACCAACGACTCAGCGAGACTGGCAGCTTGTCGATAAAGAAGTTACTGTGTTAAATCGCTCAAGAATCTTGCCGGAAATGTTTAAAGCGGTCACCTCGGACATACTTCCCTCATCAAGCTAGCTTCAAATGTCCTTTCATTCGTCGTCGTCGCATTCAAGCATGAGATTGATTTCTTGAGAAATATCGCAGGAGGCAGACCGCACCGGTATGTGTGGTCAATCTAGGCCATTAATCAAGTCTGCTGGTGTTCAAGTTAAACTCTACGTGTTCGTGGCAAGAAGATGACCGACCACTGTGGGACCGTATATAATATGAGAAATCAGAGTAATTGGGGATCAGTTGGTTCACTGCCAGTCCCCGAGACTGATCATTGTTCAGAACATTTGCTTGTCAATCGGTGGTTTGACTCCGAACCATCGTTAATTCAGCTCACAGCAGAGTAGCTATATTCTAACACAAGAAATATTTTAGACACTCTCCAAGCTACAATTAAATGAAGTCATATCGAGGACAAGTTCATAATAAATATTTTGAAGTGCTTGGCAAAATCCATGACAGCGAAACCCTGTCAGATGGATTCAAAAATAACGCAAGTTCTTCGTCGGATATGGGAGCTGATGCTGGGGAATCTGACTTACTCTTCTTATCCTAAGTTTGATTCTACAGGTCGGCCTTTGCAATGATCCTTCATATGTCTCCGGGCGGAGTCCTTCCGTCCGATTACGATTCGACAGAGCTCACACGTCATCGCAGTGCTCTTCAGATGCACTGATGCAATGTGCTTGGCAAGACTTGCCCGATTCATGGGCTTCCCACACGCTCCTCCTCTCTCTACAGCCCATAGACATCTTCCTTTCATCTCATAGGAGGTTGGGAGGGCGTCCGCCGCATGATACGCTGCCAAGTGGCGTCGAATCCCGCCGATAGAGACGTCGTCAAGGGGGATGTTGCAGTGCTGCCAGTGGCACGAGGCGCGGTTTACTGGGTCCGGAAGAGTCGTCTCCAACATGATCGGGACACGTAACTGTCCTTGAGACGTATGGAGGTGTGGCTCGTTAGCAACATATTCTCCAGGTATTTTTAGAGCTCCAGAGAGAGAACTCGTCGTCTGCGCATAATTGGATCTGACGAGGTTTTTGTGAGCATGATGGTGTATTGCGGCATGTGCTTCGAATGCTGGTACTTACGAGAATATATTGGTCATAGGAATTATCGGTGAGGAATACTGAGTGAGTTGTGAGTGTCATTGTAATTGCCGCGTATTTATACACCGTTCCGTTTGGTTATGTGTGGTGCGAGCCGAGTGTTTTCGGCGTCCACAATAGATGGTGGACCCTGCACTTAGGATGTCAATGTCTTGAACAGGAATATAAGTGGAGCGTTGCCGTGTCAGATGAAGGGCAGTCCCTGATGTGCATAAACGCGCGAATCATGGCTCAGATCTATTTTGCTATACACTAGTACATGTTCTACCGGAGAAGTCGGATTTATGATATGTCGCTGATACAGCGCGTCTTTTTCTATCCATGACTTCTTCAAGTCAAGTCGTTCACAGAGGTTGTGAATCTGTTTGAGAAGGGAACCAAGTATAGCCAAGTCAAACCCCGAATATATTTCAAAGCTACGATGCTAGCATGATGAACAACTTGTCTGTTGACATGTTGATTAATCCTAACCAGAGTCAGATATAACGTCCCGTGCTCATGGACCCATATGTGCCGTACAGCTAGTCGGACATTGGTTGCATTAATGCATGACGTCAGTCGAGTGTTGGGTACTTGGCTGCTCGGCATGGTAGATATTGCACGGGTCCACCCACTAGTACTAGTAGCAGAGAAAATTAAATTATATGCCTAGCCTTGCGAAATGTAAGCGGCAAAAATCTCCAAGCGTCAAAATGTCCTGGCGGAAGATCAGCTATCCCACAGTTGGCCATATGATCGCTACAACCCTGAAGGATCCAGTGGATGGTATCAACACTGGAAGAAGACATCCACCGGCGCTAGCACGATGGATACGCGAGCTCCTCGCAGATTCAGTAAGGGTTTCCTGAGCGCGTAGATTAACGTAAAGCTGGCCTTCGACATCTGAGCAATGCGGAATCGCACCACATGGGCGGTGCTCTCGAGATATGCTGCTTCGACATCATCAGCAAAGGTTGCGCGCAGAATGACCTGTCCACATACATGCGAATATTTTCATTGCACGTCCGTTGTGGGTATGCTGGAATGCACAAGCACGCGAATGCCATCTTCTGCTCGAGGAGCCATCCGTCATGATTAAGTCTATCGCGTGTATTGTTTCGATAGGGAATATAACACGTTGTTTAGATGCGCACGATTGACTGAACCCTCCTTCCGATGATCAACAGTGGATTAGGCCGGAGAATGCGAATAATTATCGTGTCGAACTGTGCTGTCAATCACGACAGCGAGCTGTAGGGATCATGATGTGGTGGACTTTCGATGCCAGGCTCCTGAAAAGTAAACGAGCGGCTTTCGTGTAAGGAAATGTAGTCCCCTCAACGCGACTCGAGTACTACAGCGCTAGGCAGAGATCCTGTTAGAGAATCCTTCAATTGTCCAGAACCGCCATGACGACGTGTTTCACATTTACATCAATATTTTGTAGCGCTGTGTATTCAGGTGCGGTACTATTAATGAGGCGCGCGAATCTGGGTTGGAGGCGGTAGCGTCAGAGATTCATCGACACGAACATGATGGAAAAGGCTCAGTCCGCACAGGCAGTCCTGAACGAGAAGCTGTTGTATTCGTGCCGAGCGCCGGTGCATATGAGGCGAGGTCCGTGAACCACCCAAATTACAGAGAACTGACGCGCATCTATCTTACCAAAGTCAGATAAATAAGGGAGATCGTCACAATTCATTAATTCATTACGAGGGCGCCAGATCATCATGGAGACCACAAGAGCAATCTTGCGGAGTGACAAGCGGGAAATCGAGAATGTGGCGTTTCTGCAGACTCGGATGACTGTCAATTATTCGTATTGGAGATCAAAACATGATCATATTTACCCCCTAGACATAGAGCAAGGCAGTTGTATGCTATCCGAGTCAGGCATGCTGAGTTAGAAACGAACAGCTACCATGCACATGTATCTTCGTGAGAGAAATCCTTCCTTTATCCCTGAAAGAGTGAACAGGTACCGATTTATCATGGGATAATGAGCCACTGTTGTATGTGATACAACCTGACAATGACTTTCGTATAGCGTGGGGGAAGAGCATGCATGTGCTCTAGCCCTTGATCGTAATGCTGCCTCGCTACGAAGCACGGCCTAGTCAATTATCTCGAAGCAGACTTCAGAAACGGCATACCTATTTATTGCGGTATCAAGCGGGACACAATGCATACATAATTCTGTATTGATAGCAGAATATTGCATCAACCGGCACCAAGAGTACATGACTTGAGAGAAGGCATACGTTGCAAGTGGGCATAGTCTCTAGTATAGCTGTTGGCGCGTAAGAGGTGTTCAAAAACGAGAGTGTGAGGCGAAGTCGAGTGGCTACAGCTACAGACTTTCCGATTCGGGATAGCCTCTGGCGCGGGACTCCAGAAACTCGTGATGCGGCGACAGAATAGGTTCCAACTAAGCCGGCATATTTTGCGGCGAGGGCCGCGAGCCAAATATCAGATAAAATGTACCTTCGATTGTGTGTAAGATGTACGGCTTGTACATGGAAAGCAGAGGCGCAAAGACTCAGAATACGCAGTCTGGGAGGCCGGGGAGCCAAGGCACCTCGGCGCTGCGGTGGCGGAAGTCCGTTGGAGGGCACGTTTTCGGGCTCCGCCACTTTGCTTGTCGCTCTCCTCCTCAATCCCAATCGCTCCTTCAGGCCGGCGGGACTAGAGCCGAGTCGACGTCTGGCTGTCGAATATATACCGCGCATCCCCAGATGAGCGCATATTACCGCGACCGCCTCCCCTCCTATACTGCCATCACCTCCGGACCAGAGCTTTATGGTGCCATCGCGAACAATATCCAACCCGATCCGTCGGGCATACCAGTCGCGGGCAACAGCAGTCAGACTGACCCGATTCGCCGCTGTTCCGTTAAGGGATGCGGGGTAGAACTGAGGTCGGATTACGCGCTTAAAATGTGCGAGGCTTGTCGGGGCCGCCATCGCAAGTATGCAAGCACGAAACGCGCGAAACGAAAGATGGAGAAGGCCGCTCTCGGTGCACAAGGCGATCACCAGGTAGTGTGGATGCCATCGGATCCCACAGCCGACGGCACAGACGAGGAATTGAGTGCCATACAGACAGGCGAGCACGAACATGTATCAAGTACCCTCCCCGAAGTGAGTCCCAACCCACTACCGAATTCACATATTCAGTAGTATTCTTGAAGAGTGCAGCGCGAACATATGAATATACCCCTGGTACTTGGGACACGAACACCATTGATCCTTCTCTATTTTCACAAGACTCGGAGCTTGCAGGAGCCCTAACGCCTGTTACAAAAGGGCGGCCGCACGACTTAACGCATAATGGTGAGCAGTCAGACTGGAAACATCCAGTAACTTTAATGTCAATCATGATGCGCAGGCACATCCACTTCTACTCCAGACACTAACGAAGCTGGACACCCCGCTAACGTTCAATCTACCTCTAGCAACACATCAGAAGCGCAGGCCTCTGATCTCTCTCTTCCCCCACGATTCTGCTCCATTAAGGGCTGCAAAGCGTTGGTCTCTGGCACATCATTCTTCAAGATGTGTGAACCTTGCCGAGATCGATACCGCAACTATGGCACGACCAAGCGTGCAAAGTGGAAACGCGAGAAGGAAGAAGCTGTTTCAGTGCTCCATAGGATGCGCGATGAAGAAGATAGGCGTAGGGAACAGGCAGGGCTTCCTGTAAGTCTGCGGCGTGAATGGTCTCAGTTTTAGATTCTCGACCACCATATATTGACATTATCCTTTTATAAGCCTATAAGCCAGTCTCCTACAGAGTGGCGGGATTGGCCAGAAGACGAACTCTCACCAGTGCAGTCTTCTTCGTCTGTACCTGACGCAGCATCTCCTAATGCCAACGTACCTCTTCCGCCCCGCATGTGTACGGTCTCGCACTGCCGTGAGATCCTTCCCGGAAATTACCAGTACCTCCGCTGTGAACGCCATCGTATTCAAAATCGACACCACAGTAAGCTGAAGCGGGTTCGTGACAAGGAAGTCAAGGCTCTAGCGTTTGATGGTTGGGTTGCCGTCGCTGGCACCGGTATCCGTGCTACGTCTGAGCTCAGCGGAGGGGAGTCTCCATCTCCGTCTTTGCAGGATACGTCAATGGAATCGATGGAGCAGGATTGCGACGATATCACTGGGAGCACTGGGCTCGGTGTCACTGTGGACGGTACCATCCCTGCTGACGCACTGTCTGGCATACCATGCACAGGTGTGCCACCCGCTGCGCGTGGAACTAGGCGGACGAACCACGTCTGTTCAATCAAGGCGTGTTACAATCTTCTGGCTCCAACCAATCCGTGGAAGATGTGCGACTCATGCCGAGCGCGGGACCGTGCCGGACGAAGGGACAAGGCGCTGCGAGATAGTGGTCTTGCCACCACATCAGCCTCAAAAGCGCCTAAGACTCCTAAGCTTCAAAAGACGCCTGTCCTGGCAGAGGATGTGGGCGAGACCCCGGGAGATGGACAAGGGGCTGCAAAGCTCAAGAAGAAGAAGACCACTACTACGTTGACGGATCAAGGAGATAGAGTCAATTCCACTTCTGAAACTACAATTTCTGAGCAAGTGGGAGGCATTTCTAGCGTTGGCCTACCATCCTCGTTCGTCGATAATTCGCATATAGCAGGCGTCCCGCCATCAGATCCTGATCCCACAACATTTGCCGGTGTCCCAGCGGACCTCATTTTCATGGAGCCGTTATATCAGGATCCGGTTTGTCCTATATTTTTACTCATGAATATTTTCTAAGTGGATCGTCGTGAATTCTAGGATTCACAAAATACGCCATTAGGATCATCAATCTCACCTGCTCAAGCCGTCATCACACCGAGGCAGAATGCCGTCTCAGATCCCTTCCAGATCGTGTCCACCGACGAGATCGCAGGTAGAGCATCACAGAGCGAAATGGCTGTGCCAACTAGCAAGAAGAAAGCCAAACGCAAGAAGGGATTGACTACTGTTCAGTCAATCACACAGTCTAATGTCCATTCGAGGACTAGTATCTCTACTGACACAATAAGCACCAATTTGTCCGCAGCCCCAGCTGCTACCCCCAATCACGAACAGCCTAATTCTTCCATTGCTACTTCCCAGGCAGTTCCTTCTGCTGATGCCTCCACTGAGAATCTTTCTAATGGCGAAGCTGCCCCCCCCTCATTACCTATGGCTCCCCAATACCTGCCTTACTTCATGCATTCCTATGGTATGACACCTTACGGCGCTCAGCCCTCACCCTTCTCATACAGCGCCTATCCATATTCGCGTCCTCCATATCCTAGTGGTTCCACATATCAGCCAACATATGCTCCATACCCCCAGCCCTATAGCTTTCCTCACTACGGTCAACCATACGCCCCTCAAGCTTTCCCTCCTCCACCTCCGCCACCTCCGCCTACCCCTCAATCTATGTACACCGTCTCAGCAGACTTTGTTTCACGTGAAGAGTACTCTGCATCGCAAGGCGTGCAGGGTACATCGGTCGACGGGACAAACCCTAACACTTCCCCCTACTACAGTACATTCTCCGCCAAAACGGGTGAGCCTCACCATAGGACCACGGTTATGTTTTCGCTGCCGAAGAGGAAACGCGACGAGCAAGAGACGCTTGGTGCGAGCAAACGCCCAGTGTCTGCCGCAAATCAAAGATTGACTGCTGCTGCCTCCGTGGCGCTAGCAGGAAGCACGAGCGGACCCCTTAACAAAGGCTCGGATGTCGCTCAGGAGATAGTTTCCGGTGTACGTCGTCCTCGCCTCAATTTGTTCTGTGCTGACTACTCAATAGGTACGACAGGTATGCAGCAACAAGACTTGTCGTCGAACACTTCTTGCTGATGCAACAAGTACGCGATGTACGCGATGTAAAGAGCGCCTCAAGAAATGTCAAGTGAAGGCGAAGCAGCGGTTCAAATTGGAGCCCAGAAAGCTCCTAGGTCGTCCGTCTGGCGAGTTGGGGGAATAGGCTTTCAGTAGCATAAAACGATCTCGCGACTTATAGGTTTTGCGAAGCTCCACGAACTAAGGCTCATCGCTGAGCGGACAATGTTGTTTATTAGGCTCGCTATTCCCGGTTATTGTAGAGTTTGAAGTTGTGGACAGAAGCGCCAACTGGCTCATCAAACTTCACAATGTATTTCTTTCCAAATCCACAGGAATGAAACAGTATTCGAAAGATGTCATGTCATGGAAACTCAGTCACACTAGGTTTCATATCGTGCATTTCGACAGCGACGTGACCCTCGTCCGTGGACTCAGTTCCTTCGTCTAGATGGCCAAATCGTGGTGTGAAGTGGGGCGCGCTATCGTCCATAAGCATGGGTGACCCCGTTGAGAAAATTTTGCCCACAGCGAGGCGCCGTAGGTTGAGGAGGACATGTGCACCCTGTACATACGTTTCGAAGCAGTGAGATTTTGAGCTGCACAGGAATGGTTACCGTACGAACCGCGAATGACATGATTGCTAATTGCCAGCTGCGTTGTGAAAAGCGTTGTGAGAAACCATAAGTGCAGTGGGACCAAGTTACTCACAAGAAACCTAATCCTGCGAGGGGATTTCTAACAATATGGTACAAGAGGATGTTTGTCAACATTATGACTACGTCAAATGTGAGTCTCGATAGAAGGGCTGATCATAACATAGGAAGACTTACGGAAGATAATGGCGTATGCCCATGTACCGTCGCGGAAAAGCAGAAACAAGATCGATTGCCGGCCGAGACGCCTGCTCACGCTGGAGAAGAATTTTACTAAAGTGAGGAAGAAGAGAATGGTTTCAAAAGACAGTGATAATATCCTTCTTGGCGTCACAATCAGATTTTGTATACGTCAGACGTCAGTACGCACCAATATGAAGTAAAGATATCGGGAGTCTTTGTAATGATACACTCCTTGGTGAATTCTATGTCTGGAATGCTGACTGCAAGAACGGCGATCATCGCTGTAACTTCAACTACAAAGAGAAGCAGAACGATCGCAGTAAGTGATCTATTGCCATTATACATTGCGTAGACTAGGGTTTGGACACAGCGAATGGTTCAGTTGATCGGTAGAACTTGTCGATTGGCTTGAGACGTACTGCGAAATATAAGAATGCCCTCCACGACGATGATAAGGGCCTCATTGAATGCCAACTGGTATGTGATCCAGTCCTTGCATTGCGTCTGCGTCCAGGTGAAGCCCTTGTCAAATTGGGCTTTGCCAGTGAGCGTGAGGATGGACCTATGTTTGAGAGCGCAATATCAGCACAACAACTAGATGAAGAATGAATGCAAGCGCAATAACGGACCCTTGAGCAAGATACGGCAGGTGTCGGACAAAAACGTACGTCCACTTGAGCCATCGTTGATGACCTCTGAAAGGGGGTACCAGTTCACGGGTCAGAATCAAGGGCCGGAGAAAACCATAGGATGACCGACCCCCAGATATATTTGACCTAAATGAACATTGCCTTCAGTGTGCTTATGAAGGATCCTCACAATGGGAGCACTCGCCTCGTCCGAGATGTGAACTAGAGTATCATATACAAGAAAACATGTTGCAGCAATAGCGAATTTAAATGTTACTGGGAACAGAAGATCAGCGCTGTCGAATCTTCCTGTTGTTCTGCGAAGGTGCGAACCGGTACTTACAATCAACCTCAGAAGCATACCCTTGATCCTCTACCGCCGGGTCCAGCATGAATTAAACGTGGATCCCCTGCTAAGAGGGCCAGTACCGAACTACTAACAGTACTTAGCGACGTGGGGATGCTCTATTCGGGACTCATCGCGGGATGAAGCCTGAGGTCTGCTTAAATAAATGGGTTCTCGATGCGGCTCTGAAGTTTTATCTAGCGTTCTAAGCGGATTCGTCGCACACCGTGAGACGCGTTCCATCCGTATCGGTGGCAGTCAGCCTGGCCGCAGCTGAGATGCTGATGGGACACCCATCAGAAGGTATATCCGTGATTGGAATATTGATACTCCTAGTACTAAGACAGCTGCAAATGTGTCGCGCACCGGAGTCTCGGAGCAATAGCCGTCAAGTAATGTTTGACCAAGTTAGATGGACCAGGTGCCCATCTTCGTAATTCGGATACAGAAATGCTAGACCGTCGCCACTGGCAAATACTTCTTGGCGGCGACTAGCAACGATGTCATCAATTTCTGTCTCAGATTATGAGAGGTGATATTATGAGATCTGTGAGCTTTCAAAGGCCCAGCCTAGAACCCACATATGTATGCTCGCCTAAATCTCACATGTCTGGCTATTGTAGTGTCCGAGGACACAGATGAGCTCCTTCCTGTTCACATACCCAGACTGTACTCCGGCTATAAATGAAAATAGACTTAACAACACAAGCTACAACGGAAGTTCCAGTCGTCACATTCACGAGGAGTACCAGTCGGGCACGGCATTGAACGTGAGTGCCAGAATGAAGTCACAAGACGAAAGGAATATTTGTCAGGGTGGGCCTCGCGTACTCAATCATGCAACAGTATTTCGAGCAGGCTTCGAAGCAAGTAGATATCGTCGTTGCCAGTACCGCGTCGTCAAGACGAGTTCGAGAGTCGCAATTCTGCACATTCGCTCAGAATCGCACAAATCTGCGTCAAGCACCGACATCCGTCACAGGCGTCACGCTCACACTCATCGTCATTCGGTCACCGTCACGTCACCACCCGTCAGTCAGCGCTAGCGTCTGCGCAGGCTACTCCTGCCCACCGTCGACCGCGACGTCCAGGCCACATCTCGCTCTTTCATATCCCACAGGACCCCGCGCACAGTATTCCAGATCCGTACTGCGTCTGTTTCTCTATTTGCGTCTCGGGTAGCTCTAGTAGTCCTGTACAACTGCCCGGCAGCCCAGGATCATCCGCGCTGCACCCCCGCCTAGTCTCGATTCGTGACACCTGAGGATATCGCTATGGCTTCTGCGTACTACGAGTTCTACCGCGGGTCGTCGTGCGTGCATTTTCCACGTCTTGAATGGGTCTTTTAATGGTGCTGATGAGCGCGATTCATATTTGCGCGTGGCGGACGACGTCGTGCCCCCGACGAACCGCACTCTTCTTCCGCCTGCACGCAGCATCGGAATGGCGCTGACGGACTCGCTCGACGAGCTCATCACGAGTGGCGCGATCACGCCGCAGCTGGCCATGAAGGTCCTCCAGCAGGTCCTGTGCTCCCCGTCCGCTCCCGTGCCCCCGCTGACCTGCCTGCTGCAGTTCGACAAGTCCCTCGCGGACACGATGGTGAAGCAGGTCAAGACGAAGACGACGCTCAAGGTGTGCCATTCCTCGTGTTTCTTCTCCTCTCACTAATTCTGCCCCCGCTAGGGCCACCTGCACACCTACCGCCTCTGCGACGACGTCTGGACGTTCATTGTCAAGAATCCGTCCTTTAAGATGGAGGGCAATGAGATGGTGCAGGCGCCCAAGATCAAGATCGTCGCGTGTAAAAACGGCGACGCCATTGAGAACGGGAAGAAGTGAGAGTCTGACCCTGTCCTCTCTCCCCGGCCAGTGAAGGGGCGTGACACCAGGCTGGCTGAGCGTGATTGTTAGTATCTCGGGTTGTTGCCACTCCGTGCGCTGGCGTCGCTCAGTGCCCGTTTGGAATGTATGCAGCGGCCGGTTGAGGCGCTGCGATGTAATCCTCTATTCACTGTGTGCGCAAACACAGTATTAGCGTATGTACCCGCCACGCGCATTATTCGCCTCATGTCTCGAATCGCATTGTTGTATCATAGGATTTTAGACATAACATGAGTTGTTCGTTGAACTTCTGCTTTGTGCTGATTTGCAGTTCGCATGGGGACAGAAAAAATGAAGTTCGATCGTCAGGCTTCCTTCAATACCCGGAGTTAAAATCCAAAAAAGCTCTACTGTAACCTAACATACCAAAGCAATAGGTCCACGGTTCACATGACACGATACAAAGGCAGGAGCCAACGAAAACCAAAACCACGATAAACGATACACACGTAACACACTTCGATCCCATACCTGCACAAATACAGAAGAACCACATCCAGGCTTAGCCAAATCCTCATAAATATCCAAACGACGGGCTGCGAGGCGAGCTGCCAGACGCGTTCATGTCAACCATCGCCATCATACACATGAAGGGAAAGGGGGAGGAGCTGGGGGGAGAAGGCTCACCCGTCAAACGCCGGCTCCGTGCACACCACGTCCTCGATCCGCGTCTTCAGCCACTTCAGCACGTCCGGCCCGAGCGTCGTGCAGTCGTACAGCTCCAAGTGCTTCAGTCGCATCGGGACGACCCCGCCACCCGCCCCACCCGCCTCTGGGTTCCGCGCCTCGACCATCTGCACAAGCTTCGCGACCCCATCCCCGTGTGAGTGACACCCACGCATCGCTAGTGCCGTCAGGTTCGGGCACACCCAGTGGTCCGCCTGCCCGTCGTCGTCCTGCGCCCCGAGCGCCGTCAACAGCGGCTCAAACGGCGCGCTCCCGATCTGCAGCGTCTGCAGGTGGTCCAGCTCGCTCAGGAACAGCCACGACGCCACCCCCGCACCCACCCCATAGTAGAACGACGGTGACGTCAGCCCCAGCCCGTACGCCAGCGAC